CCACGTGCACCATCGGACCATCGTGACCAATGCAGAGGCCGGTGGCGACGGAGAGTGGCAGACCGGCCAGTTTCACCACCAGGGTCCAGGGCTCCAGGAAGTTGCGAATCTCAAAGCCGCCTAAAATGGTCTTAACCTCGGGAATGCCACTGCCTGTGGAGGGTAATGGGAGGCAGGAAAATGGCTATCATTAGCAAATTGGGGCGAGAATAAAAATTTGTAGAAAATGTCGGTTGGTGCAGACTTGACTGATAGCGTAGGAAGTCAACATTTGTTTCATCAGTAGGGGGGTTGGTAGATTTGAATAATCAATTTGGCCCACTTATGAAAAACTCGGTGGCCTCAGTGGGATTCGAGCCTGTGCCATCAGGGGAGGGCTTTTGTAGAGCTAACGCTCTAGCCACCTGAGCTACGAGGTCTTACTCCGGGAGCCGTGAGTTTAATCACACATGGATTGATTTACCCGCCCAGCCTACTGTAACGTATGAAATCCACCAATTCTGGTACGGTAAACTTACTGCTCAAGCGGGGTTTCCTAAGAAATCGATGTTAAGTCCAATAAATAGCTACCAAGCATAACTAATTAGCAGGGGAGGTCTCATAGCTCAGTTGGCTATAGCGCTGGGTGTACTAAAACCTTTCTCTTGCGGCTGGCGTGGGTCCAAATCCCACAGAGGCCGATAAGTTTGTCACAAGTGGGTTCAATACATTCCTCTAATTGCCGGTAAAAAAAAAGACCCAGTGTCCAGTAATTATATTTGCTAGATACCTAGCCCACTGGAACTTATGAAACAGTTTCAGACAGTTGGCTTGGTCAGTAAGTGCAAAACGTTCAGCATAAGACCGGGTTAATAAGTATTTCGTGGAGTTGGTTACAGTTCTCGTTCCTAAACCGCCCGCGAGATGCAATCGGTGTGTTTGATCATTCGGGTTGGGGGAGGCGACGTCCGTACTTCAAATAACTGACGTACGCATGACTGTCATTTAGGGGTGGGGGGGGGAGTGGGGCGCGTGCGATGCTCACCAGGAGTCAGCCACAGAAGACAGACCACTCTGACAACAAAGGATTGCATTCGTTAACCAAATGGCCACTGTCTCGACTGGTGCAGACACTCCTTAGCGTAGGCATTTAGAATAATTTGTTAGTGCCCGATAGACAACTTTAAAGGGCTCTTCGATGTCGACTCAGTGATAAGTGTCATCTAGATGTACAAGAGAACTCGAAATTGATCTAATTTTACCTCTACCTGTCTAGAGGCTTGCGTGTGTGTTCGCGTACTTCCTTTTATAGACCTTCCGACGAGCGAACAATAGATTCCGCTTAACAGGAGCAAGTGAATAAGTAAACACACATCGATGGACTGTAATGGTAGTTAGTCTTCATCTCCCAATCGTAGGGGGGAGGGGAATAGTTAGTGAAGAATGGGCGTAAGTACGCTTCTGAGACGGAGGACGGTGGACGTGCCCAAACTACCTCAGGCGAAGGATGGTCCTCAGGCAGTGGTTGGCAAATACCCCCAGTCTTCGCTCATCTTCAACGCACAAAGCCCAGCATTCACATCCATAGAGAATGACTGACCGGACGGATGCGCGGTACAAACAGACCTCCGTGGCGATGGAAATGTCGCGTTGGATTCATAGGCGCTCTCGGAGGATTAAGGAAACCCGGGGAGCAGCATGGATTCGGGAGTCAATGTCGTTCTTACTCTGTCCATTCGGAAGCAGCCCCCCCCCTCCCCCCTCCTAGGTATTTAAAGCTGTCTACTTCTTCAAATTGACGGGGTGCCTTCTCCTGGTCAGGGATGCAGCTCGGGAATAATTCTGACTTCTTGATATTTATGGATAAACATGAATTCAGGCGTCCTTCACAGGCAATATGTACAGCATTTACACTTTTATATAAATACACATAGATATGGAACTAGGGTGTTCATCCGATCTATCTGGTTAGGGCATATACTTGTCCCGGAAGTGCCTTGAGGTTCGTACTTAAGTGATTTCAGGCTGTCCCTTAACGACCTCAGATATATGATGGAGTGGATCCCACAAAGCAAAGAGAGACCGAAATGGCCATTTCTGGCTTATTAGCCGTCATCAGCCATCAGATGAACACCCCAGTTCCATCATATTCACGATCACAACCGACAAAGA